AGCACCTTTGAGATGTGGTGGAACAGGAGATTCGCATCATGGATGTGCAGCCGACAAATCTGCAGCAAATGCGTGATGCTATCATGTCAATATGGACCAGAATCTCTGAGGAATGTTTCCAGTACCTTGTTGAACCTATGCCATGAAGGATTAATGCAGTTCTGAAGGTAAAAGGAGGGCTGACCCGGTACTAGCAAGGTGTACCTGATAAAGTGRCAGTTGAGTGTAGATTATTGCCACTAATTTCAGACAGACTTCAGCTTTTGCAGTGCACCTTCTAGTGGGGAAACAATAACATTAAATAACGCATCAGTCAAAATTTACTCTTATGCATAATACGACCCCCTTAGTTTGTGGATGATTTTTGGATTAAATTTCTTGTATTATGCATGCATAAATATGGTAATCAGTTGATTTAATGGTTATTGTGTTCTGTGTTCATTTGATTCTCCTGAATGTTTTTACTTATTTCTTTCCATTGTGCTCTTATATTTTTTCCTTTCTACTTTATCTCTAAAGCTTACTTGAATGGTTGCAGCTGTAATAATTGCATTTTCCCCCTTGGATCGATTGATTGTTCAGCATTTTCGCTCAGCCCTAGCTGTCATTATTATATTTATAAAATGAACATTACGTTTTTTGTGTGTGAAATATCTCTGGTAACACTGCGCTGTAAATTCTGTGTGGTTTGCATTGCAGTGGCGTCCTCCTGTGTCGAGCGGCCAGAGGAGGAAACGAGTAGCAGCCGTGAAGATGACGTGCTGCTGAACGTGATCCGTCCCGACTACGAACGTCCCGCTCCTCCGCCGCCCATGAAACCTCTTTATCATCTTACAGAAGATGGGAAAGTTCAGGGTAAAAGCTGTAAACCGGGATTAAGCCTATCTGGAAACAAAGCTAGATATGAAATGAACCTTTCACCTGTGTTTGCATGTTTGTGTGCAGAAACACCAGATGAAGTCTATTCTGCTTTAAGAGGCCTCGGCTACCAGTCGTTCAGAGCGGGGCAGGAGAAGGCCATCATGAGGATCCTGTCAGGTATTTGGAGTGACACATTCTGTGCACGCCTACGTTTTTAAACGTTGAATGCACGCTCCCACTTTTATCTTCAGGCCTCTCCACCCTGGTGGTGTTATCTACTGGGATGGGTAAATCGTTGTGCTATCAGCTGCCAGCTTACCTGTACGCTCAGCGATCCAAGTGCATCACTTTGGTCATTTCACCTCTAGTTTCTCTCATGGACGACCAGGTAAACATCTTCTTCAGGTGCATAATTCTTTCCCAGAATTCTGACTCACATTTGAATGCCTTGCGTGTGTAGCTGTCAGGCCTTCCCACCAAGCTGAAGGCCGCCTGCATCCACTCCAACATGACGATGAAACAGAGAGAAGCTGCCATAGAAAAGGTGAAGCGCACAGATACGTGCTAAGGCGTGGGATAAAATGAGTTTATATTTATATATTTCTGTCTGTTTTTGCAGGTGAAGTCCGGTCAGGTGTGTGTGTTGCTTCTCTCTCCAGAGGCTTTGGTTGGTGGAGGAGGCTCGGGTGCGGGATGTCTGCCCTCCGCTCAGGAGCTCCCTCCTGTGGCCTTCGCTTGTATAGACGAAGCTCATTGTGTTTCCGAGTGGTCACACAACTTCAGACCCTGCTACCTAAGGCTCTGTAAGGTGGGTCAATGGTAAAATCACACTGAGCACCTTTGTATCTCCTGCACAAATGCACTTTTTACCACTATACTGTATGTGACCCATCATATCGAAATGAGTATTAAGTGAAATTTGTTCAAAATGACCTAACTACATTTTCAGATTCCTGCTTTAAAAGCTACATTTTGAAACTGGATCATCCTGATATCATAAGTGGATCCAGAGATATGGCTTAAATTGGTCTTGTTGGTTACAATAATACATCACTGTTTGGTCTGAATCCTAATTTTATGTAAATTTATTGAGTAATTTTTATGTTAATATAAAGAGGAAACCTCAAATAGTATTTTTATATTAAGATTTCCCATTTGGAAAGAAACAAAAACATTGCCAGCTCACATGGAAAAATTCAAAAATTTAAGTAATTTTTAATCAAAATCAGGTGTTTTTGTTGCTACTGCTAAAAAAATGCTTCAAAAATGTTTTTTAGGATTATATTTCAGACACTTCATTCAAATGATACTTTGATAAGGCATTTAATTAAATGCAATTTTTGCACATGTTTAAATCAAAACCCTATATGTGCCTATTTTTCCACATTCCACTTTTGGACTTAATACTCATTTCGATGTGATGGGTCACATACAGTATATAGCAGAATTTCAAATATTTCTCTCAGAAGTAAACAAAACACACAGATACTCAATCTAGGTCCTGCGGGAGCGCCTGGGAGTGCAGTGCCTGCTGGGACTCACAGCTACAGCCACACTGTCCACTGCTTTGGACATCGCTCATCATTTGGACATCAGCGATCAGGACGGCATCGCTGTGAGATCTGCCGCCGTGCCGCCAAACCTGAATCTGTCCGTGTCCACGCATAAGGAGAAGGATCAGGTCTGAGGAGGGKTTTTTTTTGCATCGTTTTATTCTGTAAATTATAGTTCTTCTGTTTTTATTTTCTCCCTTTGTGCCTCTCATGTCTTTTCATTTCAAGGCTTTAGTTTCCTTGCTGAAAGGGGATCGTTTTGGTTGCTTGGACTCAGTCATAGTTTACTGCACCAGGCGAGAGGAGACGGTTCGTGTCGCTGCACTGCTCAGGACCTGCCTGCAGGGGGTGCTGGTGAAAGAAAACACCCAAACAAGCGACAAAAACAAGACGCAGAACTCAGCTGACCAGAGAAAAAAAGAATTAGGTTAGACCAAAAAAAATTTTTTTTCTCTTATATGGGGCGGCTGTGGCGGAGTGGTTAGAGGAGTCATCCTGGAGCCGGAAGGTCACTAGTTCGATCCCCCATCCAGCCTTCTCAGTCGTTGTGTCCTTGGGCAAGACACTTCACCCGCCTTGCCTACTGATGGTGGTCAGAGGGTCCGATGGCGCCCGTGTATGGCAGCCTCGCTTCTGTCAGTGTGCCCCAGGGCAGCTGTGGCTACAATGTAGTTTGCCATCATCAGCGTGTGAATGTGAGTGTGAATGGGTGAATGTCTGTTATTGTAAAGCGCTTTGGGGTCCGGAGGGACTTGAAAAGCGCTCTATAAGTTCAGTACGTTTACCGTTTATATATTTATAAAAAGCAGTCTTATTTTGTTTTTTTGGTTTTTTTCTCAACTTTTTATTTAAATTTTTAAAAATATTCAGCACGGAAGAAGATTCGTAAGCCCCTGAAATGGCAGGCGGAGGCGTACCACGCCGGCCTGTCGGGGTCCGAGCGTCGCCGCGTTCAGAACAACTTCATGTGTGGGGAGCTGCGAATCGTCGTGGCCACGGTGGCGTTCGGTATGGGTCTGGATAAGTCTGACGTTCGAGGAATCATCCATTACAACATGCCAAAAGTAGGAAGCAGCAAATCTCACAATTAAATACTTTTACTTTTGTGAACTCAAGCTATCTGAAATATTTTAATGCCTCAACATCTGTTATTTATCTAAAATTCTTTTCTTTTTTTCCCCCCCAGAGCTTTGAGAGTTATGTTCAGGAAATTGGGAGAGCAGGGAGAGATGGAGAACCGGCTCATTGCCACCTCTTCCTGGACCCTGAGGTGAGACATAAGCTGTTTGGGTAAAAAGACAAAAACTAAAACTGCAGTTAAAAATTTTCAAAAGTTTAAAATTGTAGATTACTGCAATTTAAATATTTTAAAACATTTTTGATCTGGTGTTTGTGTGAATTTGTACAAAAGTAAGTATAGTTGAGTTTTATTTATTTTATCTATAAATATTTCCATGTGAAGTCCAGCTTCAGGACTCTCCCTGTTTACTTGCCATGAATCATTAGTGACTTTGTAAATAATTCATAAAACATTAATACAAATAAATTTATCATTTATATTGTATGTTCCAGTAATACATACATTGCTGTTTGTGTGTGTGTTTATGTGGGATTACAGGGTGGTGACCTCCATGAACTCCGTCGCCACATCTATGCAGACACTGTCGACTATTATACAATCAAAAAACTGGTCCAGAGAGTTTTTCCTGCGTGCAAATGTAAAAAGATCCATGAAAAACAACAAGAGCTGTGGAAGGTAAGCCAGTTTCTAGTTGTGTCTGCAGACCACATGATGTTGTACTTTCCTGTAAAATAAAAAAAGATTTTGTCTGTGTTTGCAGGATGTTGAAGACTCGGAGCTGCTGGAGGTGGTGGACGTGTGTGATCAGGAGAGCAGCCTCCACCATCCTGCTCAGGAAGACACGGGACAAACGGAGAATAAGGAAGCTCCAACCTTACAGGTGATCAAAAAGAAAAATTATTAAAAGTCTGACAAATTATGAAGCAGTGTATTTTACTAAATCTGAGCTTGTTTTTCTTGTAAGCCTGAACTTATCGATAAAGAAAGTGAAAAGAAGGAGGCGGATGAGTCGAAAGAAGGCGTGGCGGTCAAAGACGAGGAAGCCGATTGGCCGAAGGAGCGGGCGTGTCACACTCATGAACGAGCGATTCCCATTCAAGACACCGTGGAGGCTCTGGACATCACAGAGGAAGGTCGGTTAAAATAATAACTAAAAACACAAAGCTCACTTTTGGCTCGTTTTGGATTAAAATTATGTGTATGTTTCAGGTGTGGAAACCCTGCTCTGCTATCTGGAGCTGCACCCACAGAGGTTCGTTGAGCTCCTTCACCCCACGCTGTCTGTGTGCACGGTCAAGTGCTATGAAGGACCCAGACAGCTGCAAAGGATCACCAAAATGTAAATCTATAATTATATTTCCTTATATTTAACATATAAAATCCACATAAACACAGAGGACAAACAAACGCATCTGCTTTTTGTTTCTAGCTGCCCTCCGGTTGCTGTGGTRTTGGCCAGGAGGAGGCTGGCCGGGGAGCGCGTGTTGAGCTGTAATCAGCTGGAGTTTGACGTCGTCGAGGTAGCGGACACTATGGGATGGCAGCTTCCTGTTGTAAAGAGAGGACTCAGACAGCTGCAGTGGAGCACTGAGCGAGGTTTGTTGATGAACTCAGCTGGAGTTTCAATCARTAGGCTTTGCTGAGGCTGATCGTTTCTGTTTCAGGAGGCGGAAGAAGCGGCGTCCTGGTTGAATTCTCAGCTCCTTCTTTCTACTTCCGTTCGTACGGCGACCTGAGCGATGAGGAGATGGACAGTGTTTGTCAGCTCCTCCACAGTCGAGTGCAGGAGCAAGAGAGGACACAGCTCTTCCAGCTCACGGCTTGTTTCAGAGCCTTTAAGAGGTAAAGTCAGATGGTTAAAATCGTCGTTGCTGTCCTCCAGCTAAACGTTCGCTGTTCAAAACTTTTCTAACAACCAGGTCTTGCAGCGATTGGATGTGGAGAGATTTGTATTTCATCTTTGCATCTTACCTTTATGCATGTAGGCTTTCTTCTGTGTTTGTTCCTCATTTGTTCATTCTTTCTGCTCCAGTGTTGCCTTCAAAAGCGTGACGTCCTGCGTGGACGATCTGGACGAGAGTCGCAGTTCGCAGCTGAAAAATCTTCTCTCTGAGTACTTCGACCAGAGGRGAGAGCGAGATCACACGCTGAAACCCGTGGACTTCGAGGAGCTCAACGCGTACAAGGTTCAACATGGACTTTTTAGAAGTTATTTATTTATTTCTTAATGCGACAACATTGTGGCTCACTTTGTGTTCTGCAGCTGTTGGAGTGGGAGGATCAGATCAGAGCTGACATTAGGTGTTTTCTGTCCTGCCGAAGTGATGAGAAGTTTTCTGGACGAGCTGTTGCTAGAGTTTTTCACGGCATCGGTGAGAAAACACACACCCGAGCATGCTTTCATCACTTTATATAGCGGGTAAAATAAGTATTGAACACGTCAACATTTTTCTCAGTAAATGTATTACTAGAGGTGCTAATGACATGAAATTTTCACCAGATGTCGGTAACAACCCAAGTGATCCATACATACAAAGAAATCAAAAGAAATGAAGTTATTTGTAA